TGTGGACGTATTATGCCGTCGCCCCTGTCCGTCCGGACGTCCGTCCATCTACAATTGTTTGTGGACTCTCTACAGGTCACAATTCTTATCCGATTTTGACGAAACTTGAAATATAGGTTTATCCCCAAAAGATCTCGGCTGCTTTCGATATTGGCATGTATCGGATTGAAACGTCATGGATTATGGCCCCTGATTGTACGAAAAATCACGTTTTTAGCTTGTGGACCCTATAGAGGTCACAATTTTTATCCGATTTTTTTGAAACTTGAAATATAAGTTTATAACCCAAAGATCTCGGTTCCTTTCGATATTCGCGCATATCGGACCGTAACTTCCTGAATTATGGCCCCTGACTATATGAAAAATCGCGTTTTTAGCTTGTGGACCCTATAGAGGTCATAATTTTTATCCGATTTTTTTAAAACTTGAAATATAAGTTTATAACCCAAAGATCTCGGTTCCTTTCGATATTCGCGCATATCGGACCGTAACTTCCTGAATTATGGCCCCTGACTATATGAAAAATCGCGTTTTTAGCTTGTGGACCCTATAGAGGTCATAATTTTTATCCGATTTAAAAAAAACTGTATTATTATATCACCGTTACACCCTAAGCACCCTAAAAAAAACGTATTATTATATCACCGGTACACCCTAAGCACGACTGAGTTCGAATTTCGTGAAAATCGGCCCAAAACTGACATATAAAATGGCCGCCCCTTTGTTCTCAAATAGCGTAAAAATAGAGTATATTAAAGTTGTGGACCCTATAGAAGTCACAATTTTTATCCGATTTTGTTGAAACTTGAAATGTAAGTTTATAACACAAAGATCTCGGTTCCTTTCAATATTTGCACATATCGGACTGTAACGTCCTGAATTATGGCCCCTGATTGCACAAAAAGTTGCGTTTTTAGCTTGTGGACCCTATAAAGATCATAATATTTCCTGAATTATGGACCTTGATTGTAGGAAAAATCACTTTCTTCTTAGCTTGTTCTCTGTCCATCTCTCGAAAATGTGGGCGTATCCTGCCTGGCAGCCGCTGGTTCGGTATACTGTGATAAAATCATTGACGATTTTATCATAAAGGCTAGAAAATGTTAAGAAGGAATCTTTCTGCCAACAAGAAACATATCTCTATCTCTCGTAATTTCTCGCAAGAATTCTACTTTGGTTTTCAACTAAATTAACCAATCATAAAAATTCTACTTTGAAAGCCCGTAATTATTTTTATACGCCCACATTTTCATGTGAACGTATATTGCCGTCACCCGTGTTTGTCCGTCCATCCGTCTGTCCACAATTTGTTTGTGGACACTCTACAGGTCACAATTTTTATCCGATTTCAACGAAACTTGAAATATAGCTTTATCTCCCTAAGATCTCGGTTCCTTTCGATATTGGCATGTATCAGACCATAACTTCATGGATTATGGCCCCTGATTGTACGAAAAATTGCGTTTGTAGCTTGTGGACACTCTAGAGGTCACAATTTTGATCCGATTTTGATGAAACTTGAAATGCATGTTTATAACCAAAAGATCTTGGTTCCTTTCGATATTCGCGCATATTGGATCGTAACTTCCTGAATTATGGCACCTAATTGTAAGAAAAATCACGTTTTTAGCTTGTGGACCCTATAGAGGTCATAATTTTTATCCGATTTAAAAAACGTATTATTATATCACCGTTACACACTAAGGACGGCTGAGTTCGAATTTCGTGAAAATCAGCCCAACACTGACAGACAAAATGGCAACCGTTCGTTATCAAATAGCGTAAAAATATGGTATATCAAGGTTGTGGACCCTATAGAGGTCTCAATTTTTATCCGATTTTGTTGAAACTTGAAATGTAAGTTTATAACCCAAAGATCTCGGTTCCTTTCGATATTCGTGCATATCGGACTGTAACGTCCTGAATTATGGCTCCTGATTGCACGAAAAGTCGCGTTTTTAGCTTGTGGACCCTATAGAGATCATAATATTTATCCGATTTAAAAAAACGTTTTAGTAAATCATCGTTGTACCCTGAGTTCGAATTTCGTGAAAATCGGCCCAAAACTGACAAACAAAATGGCTGCCCCTCGTTCCCAAATAACGTAAAAATATGGTATATCAAGGTTGTGGACCCTATAGAGGTTAAAATTTTTATCCAATTTTGTTCAAACTTGAAATGTAAGTTTATAACCCAAAGATCTTGGTTCCTTTCCTTGGTAACTTCCTGAATTATGGCCCCTGATTGTACGAAAAATCATGTTTTTAGCTTGTGTTTCCTCTAGAGGTCACAAGTATTATCCGATTTTTAAAAAAATGTTATACACTAATGATGGTTGAGTTAGAATTTCATGAAAATTGTACGAAAATAGTGTAAAAATATGGTATATCAAGGTTGTGGACCCTTTAGAGGCCACAGTTTTTATCTGATTTAGATGAAACTTTAAATATATGTTTTTATCATAAAGACCTTGGTTCCTTTTCATAATCACAAATATCCAAGCGTAACTTACTGGATTATGGCCCCCGATTGGTCGAAAAATCGCATTTTTTGTCCCCCGCCTTTCGAAGAAAGCAGGGGACTATTAAAATGGGTTCGTCCGTCTGTCTGTCTGTCTGTCTGTCTGTCTGTCCGTCACACTTTTTGGGACACAATAACTCTCTTCCTAATTGAGCTAGAATGTTCAAACTTGGTGTATGTGTTTATTAGGTCAATGCCTTGATGGAGTTCGAAGATGAGCATTTTCCGCTTAGGGTAAGCAGAGATAAGCAATTTGATTGGTTGATGCTTTGGGACACGATAACTCTCTTCCTAATTGGGCTAGAATGTTCAAACTTGGTGTATGTGTTGATTAGGTCAATGCCTTGATGGAGTTCGAAGATGAGCATTTTCCGCTTAGGGTAAGCAGAGATAAGCAATTTGATTGGTTGATGCTTTGGGACACGATAACTTTTAATTGAGCTAGAATGTTCAAACTTGGTGTATGTGTTTATTAGGTCAATGCCTTGATGGAGTTCGAAGATGAGCATTTTCCGCTTAGGGTAAGCAGAGATAAGCAATTTGATTGGTTGATACTTTGGGGCACGATAACTCTCTTCCTAATTGAGCTAGAATTTTCAAACTTGGTGTATGTGTTGATTAGGTCAATGCCTTGATGGAGTTCGAAGATGAGCATTTTCCGCTTAGGGTAAGCAGAGATAAGCAATTTGATTGGTTGATGCTTTGGGACACGATAACTTTAGTTCTAATTAAGTGAGATTGATGAAACTTGGTGTATAGTTTCATTACAGTAATACCTTGACTAAGTTTGATAATGAGCATTTTCTGCTCAGGGTAAGCAGAGCGATACGCAATTTGATTGGTCGAGACTTTGGAAAACAATAACTCTCCTACTTTGATTGTCCCCCGCCTTTCGAAGAAAGCAGGGAACTATTAAAATGGGTTCATAAAAGCATCAATTGAGCAATTCCAATACAATCCAATACAATGAATATAGGCAAGGTAAATAAACAAATAAATGGAAAAAACAAATTGAAAAAGAAACTATTATAAATTAATTAAATATGTAGTATGCAATAAAGAATTGACATTTAATGACAGAAAGAAAACAGTGAACTTTGCACAACTTGCAGCAAGATGGAAAATAGACCCGTTGATACAACCAAACTCTAGATCTGTAGGCATAGAGCATGTTTTCCCCTTAATATGCTATAATTATTCCATCAAAAACATTGTATGCTTAGACTATAAGTAAAGATATACTGTTTGATTGTTCAATACTTTGTAAAAGATAATTTGTGATAAATTTATATGTGTCCTCTAATTATTTTCCTATTTCGGCGGGGGACATCAGCCTCACTGTTGGCTTGTAGCTTGTGGATTCTCTAGAGGTTACAATTTTTTTATACGCCCACATTTTCCTGTGGACGTATATTGTCGTCCCCCCTGTCCGTCCGTCCGTCAGTCAACAAATTGTTTGTGGACACTCTACAGGTCACAATTCTTATCCGATTTTGACGAAACTTGAAATATAGGTTTATCTCCAAAAGATCTCGGCTGCTTTCGATATTGGCATGTATCGGAATGAAACTTCATGGATTATGGCCCCTGTTTGTACGAAAAATTTTGGGATAATCGAAATGAAATTGCCAGACAAAATGGCCGTACTTTGTACGCAAATTGTATAAGTATGTAATACCAAGGTTATGGACCCTCTAAAGGCCACAATTTTTATCCAATTTTGATGAAACTTAAAACATACATTTATATTCCAAAAATCTCAGTCCCTTTTGATATATTCGCATTTCAGACCATAACTTTCTGGATTATGGCCCTGATTGTACAAAAAATCCTTTTTGTTTTTAGCTTGTTCTCTATTAGTAAGTGCAGGGGACTGCACCACACATAATTTACACAGAAACAAATACATGGACAAGACATAATACTCAGAAACCACAAATGAACAATTTAAAAAAAAGTAAATGGATCGGGGGGCTAGCCGTAAGCATCCACTGCGCTGTACAGTCCCGGGCCTGTTGTGACACAGACTTCACTCCAATTTGAAAACAATCGGGAATACAGCCCAAAGAAACCATTGTGTAATGCCAGTATGAGTCATGGTCTGCTATATGCTACAAGAAATACGAATGTAAGCATATTGTAGTAAAATTCAACTATACAAGTAACCACATCGGTGAAATGTATAAAAAAAAGTAGTCTAAAACTGGATGCACTAAATCAATCAAGAAACGTTTAGGTATTCAACGGAATCGAGGTATATTGAATACATTTAGGGCACATGTTCCAGTCGTCACAAAAAACCAAAACAAAACTGAATACAAAGAAACAAATAGGAAATGTAGACTATCTCGAAAGACAAATGTGGGCATATCCTACATAACATATATTTTTTCCAGATTTTTTTGAGGGGGTCGATTTCCCACCCCCTACCCACTTGACATGGATTGACCCGTATGTGTCTTCACTTTTTTTTTTTTTAGCTTGGGCCTATTGTTGATGCCAGAAATACTGAAATAGAGGTATGTAAGACATTCAGAAAATTGATGTAAATATATAAATTTACCTTAGCGCCACCTAAAGAAAAACATGGTGACCCAGTGATTCTCAACCAGCACACGGGAATGCTGCGAGATCTTGCTAATTATGCCATGGAATATTGAACGTCACACTAAGAAAATTTCTCAAACTAAGAAGCCAGATAGTTGACTGAAATTCGAAACACTGCAATAAATTAAGTTCATAGCTGTGTCCTGTTCTTACTCATATTGTAAATACGTCCTTGTCAACTGGTGCCTTCCTTGATGTTCTGAAAGAAGCTCTAGTTTTTCCTTTAATCGAAAAAAGTACTTTAGACAGTAACATCTTCAAAAATTATCGGCCAGTATCTAATCTATCATTTTTATATGTCCACATGAAATTTTTTATAGCATATTCTGTTTTCATCATCTATTTTTTATACGCCCCCATTTTCATGTGGACGTATATTGTTGTCTCCCCTGTCCGTCCACAATTTGTTTGTAGACACTCTACAGGTCACAATTTTTATTAAATGCCCACATTTTCATGTGGACGTATATTATCATCGCCCCTGTCCGTCCGGACATCCGTCCGTCCACAATTGTTTGTGGACACTCTACAGGTCACAATTTTTATACGCCCACATTTTCATGTGGACGTATATTGTCGTCGCCCCTGTCCAGACGCCCGTCTGTCCACAATTTGTTTGTGGACACTCTACAGGTCACAATTCTTATCTGATTTTGACGAAACTTAAAATATAGGTTTATCTCCAAAAGATCTTGACTGCTTTCGATATTGGCATGTATTGGATCGAAACTTCATGGATTATGGCCCCTGTTTGTAAGAAAAATCACGTTTTTAGCTTGTGGACACTATAGAGGTCACAATTTTTATCCAATTTTGTTGAAACTTGAAATGTAAGTTGATAACCCAAAGATCTCGGTTCCTTTTGATATTCGCGCATATCGGACCGTAACTTCCTGAATTATGGCCCCTGATTGTACGAAAAATCACATTTTTAGCTTGTGGACCCTATAGAGGTCATAATTTTTTATCCTATTTAAAAAAAACGTATTATTGTATCACCGTTACACCCTAAGGGCGGCTGAGTTCGAATTTCGGGAAAATCGGCCCAAAATTGACAGACAAAATGGCGTAAAAATATGGTATATCAAGGTTGTGGACCCTATAGAGGTCACAATTTTTATCCGATTTTGTTGAAACTTGAAATGTAAGTTTATAACCCAAAGATCTTGGTTCCTTTTGATATTCGCGCATATCAGACTGTAACTTCCTGAATTATGGCCCCAGACTGTATGAAAAATCGCGTTTTTAGCTTGTGGACCCTATAGAGGTCATAATTTTTATCCGATTTAAAAAACCGTATTATTATGTCACCGTTACACCCTAAGGACGGCTGAGTTCAAATTTCGTGAAAATCGACTCAAAACTAACAGACAAAATGCCCATCCTTCGTTCTCTAATAGCGTAAAAATATGGTATATCAAGGTTGTGGACCCTATAGAGGTCACAATTTTAATCCGATTTTGTTGAAACTTGAAATGTAAATTTATAACCCAAAGATCTTGGTTCCTTTTGATATTCGCTCATATCGGACCGTAACTTCCTGAATTATGGCCCCTGATTGTACGAAAAATCGCGATTTTAGCTATAGAGGTCATAATTTTTATCCGATTTAAGAAACCGTATTATTATATCACTGTTAAACACTAAGGACGGCTGAATTCAATTTTGTGAAAATTATGACTCCTGATTGTACGAAAAATCGCCTTGTTATACACCCACATTGAAATGTGGACGTATATTGCCGTCGCCCCCGTCTGACGGTCGGTCCCCTGTTTCACTTTGATGAACCGTGTGAACGCTCTAATTTATATGCAATATTTAAGTTAGTGAAACGAAGAAGCCTATTGAATTTCAACAATTTCTGTTTACTACATCTAGAGTTGTGGCCCTTGTTTCACTTGACTGCACCATGTGAACGCTGTTAAGTTATCACCCAATCTTTGTGAAATTTATATGCATGATTAAAATTAGTGAAACAAAGAAGTCTATTGAATTTCAGCAATTTCCGTTTATTAGGTCTAGAGTTATGGCCCTTGTTTCACTTTATTGAACCTTGTGAACGCTCTAACATGAAAAGTTATCATTCGATCTGTCTGAAAATTAAATGCATTATTTAAATTAGTGAGACGAAGTAGCCTATTGAATTTCAGCAATTTCCGTTTATTATGTCTAGAGTTATGGCCCTTTGTTTCACTTTATTGATCCTTGTGAACGCCCTAACGCCAAAAGTTATAACCCGATCTTTGTGAAATTTATATGCATGATTTAAATTAGTGAAACGAAAAAGCCTTTTGAATTTCAGCAATTTACAATCATTACTTCTAGAGTTATTACCCCTGTTTCACTTTGTTAAACCTTGTTAATGCTCGATTGATGAAAGTTATCATCCGATATGTATGAAATTTTTATGCATCATTTAAATTTGTGAAACAGGTCTATTGAATTTCAGCTATTTCCGTCAATAATTTCTAGAGTTATGGCGATTGTGAACGTTTGAATTAGTGCTGGCACGATATATCGTTGAATCGATGTATTGCGATTCACCGTCTCACGATACCTGTATTGAATCGCGGGATGCCGAATCGATTTTTCACGATTCTTTTTTGCGTTTTCTCAAATATATTATAAACTTTAAAAACTTTAAATTATACCCTAAACTTTATTTGAAACAATGACACTTAATTATGAAATGTTAATTTTATATTGATGTTGTTTTTATCTGTTTATGATGTATCAATAAAAATCTTATGTTATCTTACTTCGCGAACGATGTCCAGTAGTCTTGACATGTGTGTTACTATAAATAGTGCACGACTGTAATTACTGTTAGTTTCGTACGTTTAGATTAACAACATTTTAACGCCTTTTCGTTTTGTTTCCGAATTTTAAAGTTTGTTATAGCGTTTGTTATAAGGCTTAGTTAATAAAACATACATATTTAAATACATAAAATGACATTTTACTCTAGAATTTTATAAATTTTGAACGTATAATAGATAGTAGATCTTGTAAAAATCAAAATGGCGGAAAACACAGTCGCAATAACAAATCCTTCAGCGAAAAAAAAATCTAAAGTTTGGGAAAACTTTGGGTTTTTAAAAGGTGACACAACGAAAGTTGTTTGTAGAATATGGAAAACTATTCTAAAATATTGTTGTAATACAACCAATTTGAGCACTCACTTGACAAGACACCTTAGTGGCGACTGTCTAAGTTCATCTGTTAAGATTAAGAAGACGGCCAGTTCACCTGCGGTGAAGTTCAAGCTTCATTAAAAACACAATCACATATTTAATTTGTTGTTTTATTAATAAATCTATGACCTAGTTATGAATCGCAATACGTATCGTATCGTGGCACATGAATCGCAATACGTATCGTATCATGACTGCAGTCGCAATACCCAGCACTAGTTCGAATGAAAAAAGTGATCATGTGTTCTGTATGAAATTTATATGCATTATTGAAATTAGTAAAACGAAAAAGCCTGTCAAATTTCAACAATTTCTGTAGATTACTTCCAGAGTTGAGACCCTTGTTTCAGTTTGTAGAACCTTGTAAACCCTCAAACGACAATTTATAATCTGATCTGTATGAAACTGTCTTGTAAAGGCCCCCAATTACCTACAAAGGAATAAATATGCGACAACCCTTGTCGACAGTTCGGACGATTTAGCTGCTGTGGGCGTATGTACGCAAATAGTGTAAATATCTGGTATATCAAGGTTGTGGACCCTCTGAAGGTCACAATTTTGTGCCGATTTTGATGAAACTTGAAATATTAATGCATTTTTATAACCAAAGATCTTGGTTGTTTTTGATATTCGCTCATATTGGATCGAAACTTCATGAATTATGGCCCCTGATTGTATGGAAAATCGCATTTTTATCTTGTGGACACTCTATAGAGGTTACAATTTTGATCTGATTTTGATGAAACTTAAAATGCCTGTTTATAACCCAAAGATTTTGGTTCCTTTTGATATTCGCACATATCGGATCGTAAATTCCTGGATTATGGTCCCTGATTGGTTGAAAAATCAAATTTTTAGCTTATGGATTCTCTAGAGGTCTCAATTTTTTTTTTGATTTTAAAAACTGTTTAGATCACTATTCCACCATAATGAAGGTTGAATTGGAATTTTGGGAAAATCGAAATGAAACTGCCGACAAAATGGCCGCTCTTTGTATGCAAATTGTATATATAAGGATGTAATTCAAAGGTTATGGACCCTCTAGAGGTTACAATTTTTATCCAATTTTGATGAAACTTGAAACATATCTTTATATTCCAAAGATCTAAGTCCCTTGCACATTTGCACATTTCAGACCATAACTTTTGGATTATTGCACCTGATTGTACAAAAAATCCTGTTTGGTTTTAGCTTGTTCTCTATCATCTCTTGCAAAATGTGGGCGTATCCTGCCTGACAGCCGCTGGTTATCTAAACATGTGGAAAAAGCAGTGTCTGTTAGATTTAAAGATCACTTCAAATTTCAGCATTTAGACGAACCCTTTCAATCAGCGTACTAAAAAAATCCATAGTAAGGAAACAGCTTTACTCTGAGTGCACAACAATATCTTAATTAATCTGGATAGTAAAAAAGTGGTATTTCTTGTTCTTCTAGACCTAAGTGCTGCTTTTGACACCATCGACCAAGCACTTCTACTTAAACGTTTACAAGATTATTTTAGAATTACTGGTAATGCCCTGAAATGGTTTGAATCCTATCTCACTCCACGAAAACAGTCCGTTGTCATAAATAAGCAGTCATCAAAACCAGTATACATAGAATATGGAGCCCTGCAAGGATCAGTACTCGGTCCGTTATTATTTACGGCTTATACGGCTTGGTAAACTTCTTAGAGATCACAATTTAGGCTATCATATATACGCAGAAGACACCCAAC